CATGTATTGAATATTTCAAAGAAAAGGAAAGTCACTGGAAAGAAAACACAAGAATGATATCATTCTTGTCTTTCACAAGAAAAGTAAGGGTATCCTCCTCATTGTTCGTGATGGTACGAAGGCCACCACCGGAAYCATCTACTACTAGTACCTCACGTCAAATAAGAAGGAAYGGCTGTTATCYGATGTACAATGGAAATTKTATCAAACAAAAGATAGCACTGTTGTCAATAGCAAACATTTCGAAAAAGTTTTAACTCAAACCTGTRCGATGCTGTACGACCGTCACAGGCATTGTTATGTTCGGCACATTCCTTGAGAGCCTGTATTTTTCGATCTGATCATACAATAAATGTGTCAAATGGTAGGTATACAGTTTAATATCATGAAGAATATTATGCAGTTCTTCGTACCAATATTCGGTGACCACTGCGATGGATGAATTGAAAAATAGTATCTCTCTATTGTCGTGTTTTATGTGTCTGYAGGATCTTCGCCGAAGGAAACAACACTCACTCCATCTTTATCAACCTTTTTRATGATAAAATTTGGTTGGCTCAACATAAATCTCGTTTGCATTTCATTGATACACTTCTCAACAACCTTAATGGCATCATCTTCGGTCATGTTGTCCGTGCATTCCTTGTCGAAGATCGAAGAGCAAAAATATTGAGCGTAGCCTTGTGCCCCACTCTTCACCTTATGGAGGGCRCCAAAATAGTCCAGGTAGTAYAGCGATGCACCCTTTCCCGCATCGTATCCACCGAGTAATACATTTACTTGAAAAGGTCCTTTTCTCAAAGCTTTAGCCATTTCTCCACGAGCAAAGTTAGCTTGGGCGTGCGTSGACAGTTTGGTGCCCTCGTTTGCGAGTTCGTACAGACTGATGTTTTTTGCAAYGTATCTTCGGTGCGAAGGAATAACAATAGCAGATGTCAGTGCACGTCTCCGTTAAGGATTGAAGCAAGTACGATACATTTGAAGTTTTTTGTTCGGTAATCCTTTTTTTCTTTCGTGCCAGTTTATGAAAACGAGCACAGAAAAGGTCATAACTTACTCTGTGAAATTTACCAAGTCGCAATTTGCCCCTGACACCCCCATCATCGAATGCTCCGTCAACTTCGCAATTTTATCGAGATTTTTCTGGTAAGTGAGAATGGATCGGCCATTTGATTGGTCTGCGGCAATTACCACTCCACCCTCGTACGAAACTGCGAAAACTGTATCCGCCATGGTTTAAAATGTTGCTTTCAAAGAAGTATGATGTTACGAACTTCTGTATTGCTACGCCAGCGGTTTGTTGGGAATACGTGCTTTACTAAAAAGGGGCTTGTAGAGTGCACTCGTATCATTAATGATGATATCTATGCAATCGCTTTGAGTCCTTTTCGTGTGATACCATAAATTTTTGATACGAGGCGGTCGAGTGCGTGAAACGAAGGCAAAAGAAAGGTCTCGAATCGAAACTACGAATACCGTACTCGGACTTGTATGTATCTACTAGTACTTGTACGAGAAACAAACCGTACAGAGGATGAATGAATCACGCAAACACGTGATCAAAGCAAAAAGGATAAATAAAATTCAAAATTCTTACCAAACCAAAAAAGATGAAGGTACAAGCACAACGTAGTACTCGTACCTACCTTACGGTACTACTGGTACAATTCTCGGCATAACACCACCACCATTAAAGCATCAAATTGTCAGGCGGAAGTAGAGTAGTGGTGGTAGTAGACGAACATTTTATTAGTGTCCTTTTCGAAGTAATCCTGATTTGCCTTTCTGTTTTTCTGGAGAAAAAAAGTTACGAAGGGATGTAAATGTATGACTTGAAAATGGCAGTTTGATTAATGAATGCAGTAGTAGAATTAATGGAGTTCCGCGTTTCTTGGGGAACAAAAATAAATATGATGCTTTCGATAAAATACTTGTGTTGATGTATTGGATGTATGTTATGATTTTGATGTGTCTCTATTTCTTTTTGGAATTGTTTAATAATGGTTTGTAAAAATCTACAACACCAATGGTATGAAAAAGAAGAGCAGCGGTTCGTCCCAGCATTGTCGAACGTGTCTTTCTCCTTCACAGTTTCGAATATCATATGTKCGTGATGTGACATTTCAGGAAGCCAACACCAAGAGCCAAAAAAAAGTTCKTCTGATGTTATCTCACCATTGAGGGGCGGTGTATTTTTTTGTATGGTGAAAACGTCAATGTTGTCGTCTGAAATTCKATTCGTAGAAAGAAGAAGATACTGATAGCACCCATCTATTCTTGAAAGAGGGCGAAAATGTAATGGAATCTAGATTTGGAAGTTTGTCAACTGAATTACGCAGCTTCTTCACTATCCATTTCGTCGTCGTCATCGATGAAGACGGGTACAGCTCCACTAACTTGTGAACCGCCCTCTTCAGTCAAAGACTCGTACTTTTCAACAGTCATTCCATCCTTCAAAAGAATAGGTTTCCTCTCTCCACGAACTGCAGGAGCATCCACATAAACAGTGTGGACATCAGAGAGAGAAGGTACCACATATTGTGTTTCCATTAATACCTGGTCTGTGATAGAACGCAAACCACGGGCACCTGTACCACGTTCGAAGGCAGTATTCGCAATTTCCTTCAAGCCGCAGTCAGTTACGTGGAACTTGACATCGTCGATCGCAAACAAACGCCTGTATTGTTTGATGATTGAGTTCTTAGGGACGGTGAGAATGTCAACCAAGTTGTCAAGATCCAGGCCCTTAGTGGACACGATAACAGGGAACCGCCCAACAAATTCAGGAATCATGCCAAATTCTACCAAATCTTTGGGAATCACGTTGTCAAAGCATCGCCCTTGAACTTTGGGATCCTCRATCTTTTTCTTCATCTCTGCACCGAAACCAATGGATGCGGCATTAGTTCGATGGTTGACAATACGCTCTAAACCTGCAAATGCACCTCCACAAATGAAAAGAATATTTGTGGTATCGATTTGCAAGAAGTCGCCACGAGGGTTCTTTCGACCCGGTTCCTTGAGGTTGGAAAAGACGAATCAAACGGTCAAATTGAAGTGAGTCAATAGCGGCAATTCAAAAGTTCCAAAATCAGTGTTTTCGCATTTATTTCCTTACCTTTGGGACATTAACGACATTTCCTTCAACAATTTTCAAGAGCGCATGCTGGACCCCTTCACCGGACACGTCCCTACTGATGCTCACATTGCCACCAGACTTTCGGATCTTATCTGTTTCGTCGATATAGATAATTCCCTTTTGGCATCGTTCGATATCTTGTCCGCTTTCGAGGTATAACTTGAACAGAACGCTTTCGACATCTTCTCCAACGTAACCTGCCTGTGTGAGGCAAGTAGCATCAGCAATAACCAAAGGTACATCCATCAGACGTGCAAGTGTCTTGATCAAGTGCGTCTTTCCACTTCCGGTAGGACCGAGGACCATTAGATTGCTTTTGTCAATTTCGCATTCTTCTACCTGGGTTGCAAAGTCTGAATCAGCGATATTATTAACGTCCTGAGTTGTCGCGTGCGCCGATGTGTTGTTTTTGCTYGTACCAAACTGTGTTAGATTTAAATCYGACAAGTCTCTATTGGGATGATGTTGTTGCTGCATCTGTGAAAAGKTGTAGTCCTCTTGGCTATCGAGAGCTGCCCGTCTCGCCTCGTTTGCTGCCTTCGCTTCCACAACAGAGATTCTTTTGTAATGATTGTAAACTCCCACTGACAACGCCACCTTGACGTCACTCTGACCAATTACATATTCATCAAGGCCCTTTCGAATTTCCCGAGGTGTAGGTATGCGTTCGGCAGTAGGGGGATTCTGCATCTGGTCCACTGCGTTTGGCGGCAACTGGTTGTTTTCAATGCGTGTGTGGTCGATGTTGCTGTTCTGGCGACCATTACCTTCCTTGACGTTTACATTATATCGCCTAGGACTGTCAGGAATCTACAAAGTGAAAATATATGCATCAAATGATCGTAGAGAGTGATGGAAAACAGAGAAATGTTCTGTGAGTGATTACTGATGTTGACTTGACTAGAGTTTCAAACATGTTTCAAAACAACAAGAACTTCTAACRTACGTGGCGCATGATTATTTCCTGATCACTTCCAGGGTTGCCAGGAACTTTCTTCATCATATCTCTAGCRAATTGTTGGTCGTAGGTAGGACCACTGCGAGGATCCGTTGCYGACAGGTTCTGCTGTTGATCCTGATGGTTGGCCGCCTCGATTGGGCGGGTCCCAGCGAACCACCCGGCACAATGAGCACAGTAAAAGGAATTGTCCTCAAAATTGCACTTGAATGTAACATCGGCACCACATTTGGGGCAACGATGCCTTCCGCCCCCACCGCCGCTTCCTTTGCGAAACGTAGAGGGCTTCCCCCCGTGGCCCTCAGACGGAGGCGGATAGGGTGCGTCGTCACCACCTCCAATTCCATTACCGCTACTGCCACCGCTGTTACTACTAGTGGCAGTAGCATGTTGTATTGATTTAAAAATAGAAAAGGAAGAAGGATCAGAAGCAGCAGCGTCGTTTTTCGCTGACACTGATGTATTTTCCATGATCATGTGATTCAATTTTTCCACGGCACCGTTGGTAGTGGAATTTCTACGTGAAATTCCGTAGTTGACGTCATCCTTTCCTGCGCAGGTGACATCTTGCGTACTTGGTTTCGCGGTATCTTGATTTGTGTTGATGGGACTACGGTCAAGGTCGTGTTCTCTTCCAACGTCTGCATGGTCGTCGTCATCAATATAGTCGTAAGCTACAGCAGGTAATGGTTCTGGAATTGGATGCTTTGTGCTAGAGGTTGAAAAGTTGCTGGATCGCGGATGGGACGAGGAAGAATCTCGGACTAAACAYTCTTGATCCCTTAGTGACGAAGTTATYGTGGAGAAAGGAAACTTATTGCTCCCCCATGAGGTATAGGTCGCCCGCAGTATCCTTGACTTGTTATTCCCGACAATCTCTGACAAACATAGAGCTTTTTGCGTTGCTTTCCGCAACATTATGGAAGTCGTTGCACTCATGGTCGTGTTTTATTTTGAAAAATATTTAATCAATGAKTAGATGTTGGTGACTGAAGTTGAAAGTAATAAGTAACGTAAGAGAACATTCGAGATTTCCAAACTTCTTCCAACGATATTCGCAGAATAGAACAACCAATAGGATTCTATCCGAAATCTCCACTGTACAAGTACGAACTAACGTACGAAACTCCCTGCGTGGATTGTGGATACTTGATGCTTCGCGCGGTTTGGCCAAAGAAACAATAACAGTTTCTGGTTTGCGCGCTGAAGGAGACCAAGACGTACTACTTATGACTGCGACTCCGAGCAGTGTTGCGTAGACACGACATCGCTGCGTGCAAATACGAAAAATCGTTCTATTCTTTGATTCGACAAACTTATTAACCAATCAAAAAACGATGGGAGCTGAGCAGATGATTGATTGGGCGATATTAATAGGCAATCGCTGAAAAATCTTCGGGAAGAAGTACTTACGTACCAGCGAACATGCTCTCCGAGCATGACCTGTACATAACGAATCTACTGGGTCCTCAGTTAGAACATTTTTTAAAATAAAATAGTTTCCCGTACACCCCTTGAAACAAGGAAAGACAAAGAGAATGTTCTCTTTGAGTAGAAGGGCAATATTCTCATTGTTTCTCATTGCTGTAACAAATTAAAACTAAGAGTGCAAAGAGAATATTGCCTCTCCTCATATCTCTTTGTTTCACATTGTTTAAATACATTGTTTAAATAAGGAGAACAAACAAAAAGAATATTGGTGCCTGGTGGTGGGCAATGTTCTCGTCATCATTGTTGCTTTCTCTTCGTTTAAGCAGAGTGAATATAATCTAGGGACTATTCTCTGTATTTTTACATGGTGAAATTATGGGGGTAATTCCTGTTCTGAGAAAGAGAAACAAATAGAATATTTCCCAAGCAATATTATCTTTCTTTGATTCTTTATACTATTTAAACAAGAAAGAGAAACAAAGAGAATATTGCTTCTCCTTGTTTCTTTTTGATTTGTCAATTTTCTTGCAAAGAGAAACAAAGATGATATTGGCTGACAATAATCTCTTTTTTCTCTTTGTTTAAATATGGGAAAAAATATGGGAAACCCTGATCTTGGTTGGTGACTGTCTTCCTTTAAAACTAACAGAGGGCCCAGGTAAAGTGGACCAAATTTTGGCAAATTATGTGTACTCATACTAATGGATTCATTCCAAATGAACAAGTACTTGTACTACTAAAAAAGTAATGGTAGTAGTGTTACTACTAATATCATTTATATTGTTAGAAGCAATACTAGTAGAATTAAAAATAATGTTGCTAAAGTAGAGTTACTTCTATTTGTGCTGTCTCCTTAGGTTTGTATACCTATCCAATACCAACTTTCTTGCAACAAGCAATAAAACACTAACACTAACACTATGCTGAGCAGTATTGCTGTGGCTGTGTTGCAATGATTCTTCCTCCTCATTCAGCTCAACCTGGTAGTATTGTTGAACTAGTACTAGCACTTTTTGTCCTTCTAAGAAGACTTCTACTAAGAAGAAGTATGCAATGAAACTCCAGAAGCTTGTTGTTATTCTCAAAACTGCTAGTCCTCCAGCTATTTTTGTCACTGCTTGCTTTATCTGCAATGACTTTTTCTTCTTCTTCTTGTCAAGAACAAGCAAGAATTATAGTTGATGTCTTGATGATCAGAATTTTACTACTAGTAGTTCTATTTTGGAAAATTTCTATCCTCATGATGTAATTTGGAAAAGCACAATGGTTTGTTGTGTCAGGCCCCTTCCTAGTAGTAGTTTAGTCCACAAGGTGACTAAGCTAATATGTAGTACTAGTACTAGTGCTACTACTACTAGTAGAGTTCTGAGACAATAACTAAGTATGGTGCCACAGCATTCACTGCACTTCTTCCTGCTGGTGGTCCTCATAATTTCCTGCTTTGTTTCTTTTTCTGTTCATTCAAATGACTTTTCATTTTCCATGTCTACTACTAGTACTAGTACAATGTACCACAATTGTCATCTTTCCCTAGTGTAAAAGTAGTACTTTGTAGGGGTACACCATTGTTGAGCCCAGCAGCTGCCTGCATCAACAATTCACTCGTAGTACCATCATTTGTTGTTACATTGCCATTTACCTTTTTCTTTTCTGCTTTAGCTTGCTCCAGCAAGGCATTATTCTGTAGCAAACCAGAACACGTGTCATGCCAGGGATCATGATTTAGAAGGGTTAATGTCACATTGAAATAAATGTTCCATCCTTGGTACAAATAAGAAAAATGTAGCTCTGAGGGATTTTTTCATCTCGTTTTTACTGCATACACCACATACTATCCAAACTTCAAGTAGTAGCTACTACAACTAGTGCAACCTACTCCTAGATCATTTTTTCATGAGGATTCTGAATATACTAGTAATATTTTTAGCAGTAAATGGATTTTCAATTTTACCAGCTTTAAGTGCAACAAGTACATGATGATCCCAGCACTGAGGACAGTCTTGTAGGAAACAGTACTACGGACTGTTCTTGCATACGGTGGCTAGACAGATCCATCAAGATGAGGCCACCAGATCACTTCAATGATCCCCAGCAGAACATGGCAGACTCTTTGTGGCTGGCTGAAGATGATGAAGGTGTAAGATTCCTACTAGAATTCCATCTCCCATCCAGCAAGACAGCAGAGACCTTCCTGGCAGGACCCCAGTCCCATGGTGCTAACATCACACAGATTCTTGATGCAAAATACTACTAAGAAGTCACCTCAGAGCAAGTAGCTGCTCAACAGGAACACATGACCAAATCTCAATCCCAGGCCTTTAAAGAAGTGCTGGCCAAATACCAAGAAGTAGTACTTGATGGTACCACCCACATAAAAAGATCCATGTTGATCTGATCCCAGAGGTGCGGCCTGTTTGGAAGAAACCCTACTAGCTATCCAGTTCCCTATAGACATGGGGAGGTGTTCAAGAAGGAATGCCAGTGGATGAGGGTGTAATGGCACCAACCATCAATTCCAAATGGGGATTCCCTGCATTCATCATACCTAAAAAGGATGGCAGGGTTCAGTGACTGGTGGACCTAAGGGAATTGAACAAGCTGGTTAGAAGACCAAAATTCTCCTTACCAAGGAGACATTATGAACCGAAGAAGAGGCTATGACTATTTTACCAAAATAGATCTGTCAATGATGTTCTACTGCCTTGAGCTAGATGAGGAGAGCCAGGAGATTTGCACCCTCACTACTGAACATGGTAACTATTGATGCCTCTGACTGCCAATGTTGAAATCATCACCCAACTATGCTCAGGCTTTTATCACAAAGATCCTCCATGGTCTAGACATGGAGGTTTACATCAATGACATGGGGATCTGGACTTCTGGATCCTTTGAGGATCACATGAGACTAGAGGATTTAATCTTAGAACTCCTAGCATCCAATAGTATGAAATGCAATCTACTCCAATGTGAGTGGGCTGTTAAAGAATCAGACTTGTTCAAAGGCATTAAGCCATGGCAGAAGAAGGTCATCAATGGGATTCTCAAGATGGGAACCCCAAAGAACCAGGAGCATGTTGGGTCCTTCATAGAGAAGGAGCTGCTAGCTTTGATCCTTTGCCTGCTCAGAGAATACCAAAATATGCTCTATGGTGGTCAACTCAACATCTACACTGATCACAAGAACCTTACATTTAGTATGCTCTTTCAGGCCAGACGAGTTCTGAGAGTTCTCAGATGGCACCTTGCCATAGAGGATTTTCATATCGCATGGAGATACTGGCAAGGACAATGTCCTTGTAGATTGTTTGTCCAGAGTGCCCAGAATGTCTCCGTGCTCTGTGGGGGATAAAGAAAAGAAAATGTATGAGCAACAACATGGTGTAGTAGTC